AGAGAGACACATGGATTGGTTGCCTCCCGCACGTGCCCCAAATGGGACTGGGGATCAAACCTACAACCCAGGTATGTACCCTTGACTGGGAGTTGAACCCTTGACTCTGGTGTATGGGCCAAAGCTCTAACCACTGAGCACACCAGCCAGGGCAGGAATTAATTTTTTTAGAACTCAAAAACCTGAAAGCCTACCCTGGCCGGTTTGGCTCAGCGGTTGGAGCATTAGGGTTCGGTTCCCGCTAGGGGCACGTGCCTCAGTTGCAGTTTGTCCCCGCCCCGGTTGGGGTCGTGTGGGTGGTGGCCGGTCGATGTGTCTCACACATCGATATTTCTTTCTCTTCTCTCCCTCTCGTTCTAGGCAAAAATGTCCTGGGGTGAAGATAAAAAATAAAAACAAAAACAAAAAAACCTGAAAGCCCAATAAGGAATAGTCAAAGAACAATTACCATAAAAAATATGTAAATTGCTAATACACATGAACACATGTTCAACATCACCAGCAGTCAAAGAATGTTAAACTCATGAGATACCATTTTTCACCTACCAGCAAGATTATTTTTTAAATTTATTTTTTAAATTGAATTGACTGGGGTGACATTGGTTAATGATATTATATATTATATAGGTTTCAGGTGTACAATTGTATAATACATCATCTGCATATTATATTGTGTGTTCACCACCCTAAGCAAGATTAATTTTTTAAAAAGGCTTTCTACAAAGCACTGAGCCATAGTATTAAAGACCTTTTCTTCTTTCACTCCACAAATATCTGAATGTCCAATAGGTGCTCAGTCCATGATGAGACATGGCCCTTGCCCCTACAAAGGTGAACTTTAAGGGAAGAGAGACTTTAAACAGTTCATTACTCATATAACTAGCCATGTAATTATAACTATGCTAAGTGTTCCTAAGAAATAGTAGGTGTTCTGAGATAATTTAATAATCACACATTTGGGGGTGGGAGAGGGAGATGTGGTCAGGAAAGACATCTATGAGAAAATGACATTTGAGCTAAGATCTGAAGGGAGACGAGAAATTAAGTAGGTAAAGCTGGGGTAAGGGAAAAGAGGAACAGAGAGAAGAATGGCTAGACTATAAAGGCCTTGAAGTAAGAAGCAAACCTCTGGAAACACAAAAACTGAAGAAATGCTTGTTTGGCCTAAGCTCAGGGAGAGCGGTTAAACTAATGAGACAAACACAGCTTTCTACACCAAAACAAACTTTTGACCTTTAGCCTAAGGGTAATGGGAAGCCATTTAAGGATTTAAGTAGAGAAATAAGATGGAGTTTAAAAAAAAATCTCTGGTTTCAGTATGAAGACCAGCCTAGGTGGGGAGAGCAGGGGGAACAGAGGGCCTACAGACGAGGCTTCTGAAACGATGGAGTAAGAGAGCAGGGTAACCCCTTCTCCTTCTCTAGAGAAAGAGAACCACGTTGATACTAGACACTTAGGATATAAGTCATCAAGTCACCAGACACCACTTAGGAGAGGCATTCCAAGTGACTCAGAGGGTTCTTGTATAAGAAGCTTCATGGCTCGGTTGCAGTTTGTCCCCGGCCCTGGTTGGTCGTGCGGGTGGCAGCCACTTGATGTGTCACTTCACGTCGATGTTTCTCTCTCTCTCTCCCTTCCTCTCTCTCCCTCCCACTCTATCTGTACAAAAAAAAATGGAAAAATATCCTCGGGTGAGGATAAAAAAAAAAAGAAGCTTCATGGATATTGCTGCTACTGACGATAATGGTCATATCCCTTGATTTAGTCATTATCCTTCTAGGAATTTATTCTAGAGAAATAATCACAAACTTGGACAAGATTTATTTTCAAAGTTGTTCACTACAATCTTATTTAAAACTTTTAAACTTCTAAACAATCTAAATATCAAAACAGGAGAATTTTACAAATAAATTATGATACTACCATGTAATGGAATATTAAGTAGCCATTTAGAAGTCACATTTAAGCCTGGCTGGTGCGGCTCAGTGTTTGAGCAATGACCCATGAACCAAGAGGTCGCCGGTTGGATTCCCGGTCAGGGCACATGCCCAGGTTGTGGGTCAATCCCCACTGGGGGGCATGCAGGAGGCGGCCAGCCAATGTTCTCTCTCATCGATGTTTCTATCTCTCTCTCTCTCCCTTCCTCTCTCTAAAAATCAATAAAGAAAAAAAATCATAAGTAAAAGTTACATTTAATGTCAAGAGAAGCTGCTCAGAATATGTTAAGTAGAAAAAAGCAGGCTATGAACATTAGTACATTATTTTAAAAATACAGAAAGATCTATATAGATATATGTGCATTTTGATAAGACCAAGTGTTTTAAAATTTCTTTGGATCGTCCCATTTTTTCAATGTTCTCTACAATGAGGAAGTCATATTTTTATTTTTAAATTATTTCTATTTTTTAATAACATTTGTTGAGCGTTTACTATATGTTAGGCACTGTTTTAAATGTTTTATGTATATGAACACATTTAATCATGAAAGCAATTCTATTACAGAGAAGTGACTTGCCTAAAGTCACACAGTAAGCCAAAATTTGAACCCATGCAAGATGACTCGAGCGTCAGCTCTTATACCACTACCCTATACTGCTTGTGGCAGAATTGCATTTATATGCAAAGAATAACTTTAAAAAGAACAAACAAATTATTAAGATAAGCCACAGAATGAGAGAAAGTACATATTTGCAAGTTATCTATCTGATAAGGATTTAGTATCCAGAATATATAAAGAACTCTTTCATAATTCAACAAAAAGACCAAAAAAAACCCAGAAAGCAAGAAACACCTCAGTTAGAAAATAGGCAAAGGATCTGAATAAACATTTCTCCAAAGAAGATATCCAAGTGGTCAATAAGCATACGAAAAGATGCTGGACATCATTAGTCAAGGTAAATGTATATCAAAAGCATAATAAGATAACAATTCACACCAGAATAAAAAATGGCCAGAATAAAAAATGGAGTCAGTCTTGGCAAGAATAGAGAAATTGGAACAATCATACATTGGCGTGGAAACACAAAATGGTTGAGCTGCTTTGGAAAACAGTTTGGTAGTTTCTTAGAAGGTTTAAACACACAGTTACTGTATGGCTCTAGGTATAAACCCAAGAGAAATGAAAACATATGCCCACACAAACACTGTACATAAACGTTCATAGCAGCCTTATTAATGATAGCCAAAAAGTAGAAACAACCCAATGGCCAGCAACTGATTAATGGATAAACAAAATTTGATATATACATATAAGGGAATATTATTCAGCAATAAAAATAAATGAAGTACAGATACATGCTACGACATGGATGAATCTTGAAAACATGCTATATGAGTGAAAGAAGCTACACACAAAAAGCCACAATATTGTATGATTCCTTTTATATGATGTTTCCAGAATAGTCAAATCAATAAAAACAGAAAGTAGATTAGTGATTGCCAGGAGCTGGGGGTCTGGTGGCATAGAGGGTGACTGCCTAAGGGATACTGGGCTTCTGTATGGGGCAATAAAATGTTCAAGAATAAGATAGTGGTGATGTTGCCTAACATTGTGAATATACTAAAACCCCTGTATACTTAAAATGGTGAATTTTTCATTATGTGAATTTTACCTGAATTTTGAAAAAGAACAAAATATCTTTAGTAAAAAAACAGAGAATTTGCTCACAATCACAGAGACTTTCTACTTTATCTTTCTTTTATCCTTAAGTATCAACATGAAAATGTCAAATTACTGTGCATTATCTATAAAACAGGATAACAACAGTACTATTCTAAGAGGGTTTGAAGAATATTAAGAGAGTTAATATATATGAAACACTCAGAACAGTGTCTGACACAACAGCTCTCAATAACTGTGAGCTAGTAGTAGCAGTAGTAGTAGTATTGGATTTGGAATCCAACGAGGATGGGGAAAAAATTATGTCCTATTTCTCTCTAAATTTTTGTCTTCAATGAATGGAAGATTTATTTGACTACAATCAGGAAGGAAAAAGCACAAGCTGTTTTTTATGTGGTTGCTGCTGTCTAGCATTTAATTTTATAAATACAGTAAATATTTTGGTCTGTGATTAGAATGAGATGCCAAGGAGTTTCAGGTATATTAATCTTGCTTTACCAGTCATGGGAGTACAAGGAGAGTCTAGATACCAAAAACCAAATAATTCTATAAGATCTACTAGAAGGTCAACACGAAAGAAAGAAGTTTGGAGAAGCTGGGTAATTTTCTAGCTTCATCTCAATTATTAATAGATATTCATAGAGCCACATCACAGCAATACTTAAAACACTAAAATTCTAGACTATCAAATTTACCCACATTTAAATATAAGTTAAACACACATACTGAAGCCAGACAATGGTTGTAGACTCCTGTAGACTAGAAACAGCACTATTTCTTTCCTTTAAATGAACTATTTTTAGATGTAACAATTAATTGCTTTATCTGACTATAAAGCAAAAAAAAAAAAAAATCAAACCACTGCAAGTCTTCAGGGAAGAAGAGGGAGCTCGCAAAATCTAATTGCTTAGAGAATGAAGAAAATAGCTTTACATATCAGCTGCAATAGAGGTCAGGCAGCTGATAAAGCAGAGAGATAAAATTTCAAACCAAGACTGAGCACTATAAATAGTGCCCAAAGCTATAAATAGAAGGACACATTCTACATGAGTCAAAAGTGGGAGCAACTATTAGATTAGTATTGGTCTTTTTCAGTCACATGGGAACAGAAGTAATAGCAGATTAACAAATACTTATTAAGTGCCTACCACATACATGAACAAAAACATTTTATATGAGGTTATAAACTATAGGTTATTTATTGTTAAAAAAAAGTCTTTATACAAACTCCTTTTAAAACTTCCAATAAAATATTCCCTATGTGCAAAGAGTCAAAATGAGAATTAGAAATAAAGGACTTTGTAGAGATAAAGAAACCACTGCGGGGGATGTGGAAATGCTATTGAACAGCCATTATTATTATGATTACTTGCAGTCCTACCTGTATCTGTGCTTTTCATTCCCATCCTAAATCGTATTTGCTTGCCATGAAGGACCTTGGAGAGGTGTTCAGCAGTCCAGTGCTGTGCGGGCCAGTCAAAAACCATATTACAGAAGACTGCAGGTTGCTGCAAAGACATGATAATTTCTTTGGCTTTCTCTGGCGTAAAAGGTTTGATATGTTCATCTAGGGAGAGAAATAAATAGAGCAACAGATAGATAATTATAAAGTTATTTAACATAATATGAAAAAAAATCTGGTATCGTTTTAATCACGGCAAATCTTTTTGTGTAATTACACTGCATTTACACATCACTCATTACTGTTCATATAAATATAAATATCAACCATAATTCTTTTTTTTTAAATTAATTTTATTCTACCAGTCTATTAGCTTTTTTTTTTTTTTTATCCTCACCTGAAGACATTTTTCCATTTTTTATTCAGACAGAGCAGGAGGGAGAGAGAGGAAGAGAGACAGAGAAACATCGATGTGAAAGGGACACATCGAGTGGCTGCCACCTGCACGACCCAACCAGGGCTGGGGACAAACTGCTGCCAAGGTACATGCCCTTAGCGGGAACCGAACCCGGGTTTCTGTGGACTGCAGGCTGACACTCTAACCGCTGAGCCAAACCGGCCAGGGCCAAACCATAATTCTTAAATGATATTTCTTATATTAAATTTTAAATGTTAGAAAATATTTACAATTTTCAATGTCAAATAGTTTGTTTGTTTGTTTTGTTTTAAACTTTTTTTTCCCTTTATTGATTTTAGAGAGAGAGGAAGTGAGAGGGAGAGACAAAAACATCGATGAGAGAGAACATTGATTGGCCGCCTCCTGCACGCCGCCCACCAGGGATCAGGCCCACAACCTGGAATCGAACTGGCAACCTCTTGGTACATGGGTTGACGATCAACCACTGAGCCACATTGGCCAGAGTCAAAAAGTTTTTTTAAAAAGTTTTCCAACTATTTAAATTTAAAAACAATACAATTTTTAAAAAATATTATTTCTTAAATAGAGGTGTATGCAAGAAATGCTGATACAAACTACTCTAGAACAATTAGAGTTGCTGGAGTCAGCAACAATTCTACTTGCTGTCACATGTTGATGCCACAAAAAACTACTTAATTATTAAAAATACATAAGTCAGTGGGAAAAGGGGAATTATTTTTACTGAAAGATTTAAAAGGAAAAAAAATGTGCTAGGATGAGTATCATTGTTAATCCTCGGCTTCAACTGCATCTGTAAACTGTACAGGGGCTATGCACTGAGTACTTCAATACATTTCACAGAATCATAGAATGTTAATTCTGAACAGGATAGTAAAGATTTGTATTGCTAAAGAAAAGAACAAGTTTCTCTCTCTCTTATCCTCACCCGAGCACATTTTTCCATTTTTTGTTCAGATAGAGTGGGAGGGAGAGAGAGGAAGAGAAAGAGAGAGAGAAACATCGACGTGAAAGGGACATATCGAGTGGCTGCCACCTGCACGACCCAACAAGGGCCGGGGACAAACCGCAACCAAGGTATGTGTCCTTAGCGGGAACCAAACCTGGGTCTCTCTGGACCGCAGGCCGACACTCTAACCGCTGAACAAAACCAGCCAGGGCAGTAAGTTTCTCTTTAAAGACATCTTAAGATGAAAGTTTTTTGGGAAAGGTAAAAAATGCTTCATACTCTGACCTCCAAAACGTATGATATGCTAAATCAATTAACCAGTGTATTTCAGTTACCTAATCTGTAATTACACTTAATTCAAAATAATTAAGAAAAGCTCATAAATAATCCAAATTCTCCCATCATCCAGCTTTTTCTAAACTTTCTGATAAAAGACAGAGGGATGAGGAAGGACTCATCAAGGAACTTGAATAATTTGTACTTGTCTGATGAATCTAAAGCTTGTTTTTAAAAAATGAAAATTTAAGTCAACTCCACTTCCTTTCTCAGACAAGGGCAAAAACTCAGAATCCTTTCCTAAACCCTTAGTGAAAGTGAGTAGGCTCTAAGCCTTCAGCAGTTGACATTTGAGAACAATGTATCACCTTCTACACAGTCAGGGCTTCCAAATGAGGAGGAAATCAGTGTGGATGCTTAGAGGGTAAGGATAGATAGAAGAGCTGGGGACTACATAGAGTGAGAAAGGGAAATGACACTCTTAGGTCTTGATGTAAAAAGAGCACCAACTTTTTAAAGTGACTTTTAAGTACTAAAGCGTCCTGTTAAAGAAAATAGGATGTGACGAGGAATAAAAAGAGTTTTCTTTCTTTCCTTGATATTTTTTCCCCACTTTTGACATGTATGATAAATTCACATTTAAGGTCTAAACCCATACTAGCCTATAAATACAAGGTTACCTAGCCTTCAGTGCATGAAGTCTTCCTGGACTTGTAGTGCCTAAATTCTGTGTGCATGAAAATGGACAAGCTGCATTTTTATTATATGTTTTTAAAGTTTTGCTAGATTATGTATGTAAAGCTACAATACATTCATAATACTTTCTCATTTGTGGCAAAAAAAAAAAAAAAAAAAAATAGAACTATCCTTTGAGAAACAACTGGGAAAATTAAGAAGTCTCAAAGAACCACCTACTAACCACTAACCTAGTAACTCAAGTTATAGGAATTTGCTTTCAACAAAGTAATTAATCATAAGCTATATACATATTTATATATAACATATATATATATACACATAAAATATCTACTACAAGATAAATCTAAAAATATAAACAACCTAGTGTCTAAAAGTAAAAAAATATTTACTAAATACTTTCCCCATGGTATGTACATCCATTAGCAATAAAAATGAGGGCTATGTAGCCCTGGCCAGTGCAGCTCAGTGGTTGGACCACTGGCCGGTACACCAAAGGGTCTTGGATTCGATTTCCGGTCAAGGGCAGGTACATGGGTTGCAGGTTCAATCCCCAGTGTGGGAGGCAACTAATCAATGTGTCTCTCTCAGACTGATGTTTCTTTCTCTCTCTCTAAAAGTTGATGGAAAGAATATCCTTGGGTGAGGATTAACAAAAATAAAAAATGAGGGCTATGTAGAAATGTAGGGACTGGAATTAACTCAGAGAGCTATTACATTAGCCAAGTGAGAAGTGTGATAATAAGGCCTTGAACAAGGTGTGGCAGTAAGGAAGGCAGAGATGGTAAAGATGAAGAAATCTGCCACATACTTTTATATACATTAAAATAAAAATGCACATGTGAGACCTGGCCAGTTTGGCTCAGCAGTTGAGTGTCAACCCTTGAACCAAAGAGTCGTGGGTTCGATTTCCAGTCAAAGGCACGTACCTCAGTTGTGGGTTCAATCCCCAGCCGGGTCAGGATCATTCAGGAGGTAACTAATGGATTTGTCTTTTTCACATCAATGTTTCTCTTTCTTTCTCTCTCTCTCCAATGCCCTCCACCTCCCTCCCACTCTATCTAAAAAAAAGGAAAAATATCCTTGGATAAGGATAAAAAAAAATGCACATGTGATCCTCTAAGAAACCTGTAAAACACAGCTAGAAAAGGTATTTTATTACCACACAATCCAAAGGAAGAAATAGAAGCTCATATGTCAAAGGTCAATACCCAGGTGACTAACTTAAACTATAGGTCACATACTCTGATTCTAAGTCCAGGCCCCTTTCCACTTCACAATCCTGCTTCCAGAGAATTAAAACGGAGGGACTAACACTAGCATCAGAAATTCAGGAGAGATAATATAAGCTGAAAGGATGCCAGGAAAGTTTTAGATGGATTCATAGATCCACATGTGCTGTTAAGGAGGGAGGAATGTTTTGGTTTGTGCATATGTATGGGTGTGTGTTAGGTGACGCATTAATACCTGTAGAAGAGACTGCTGGTTGCCTAACTTACCCAATACCCATTCTCTTCTTCTTTACTAACAGAACTTTAGGCAATGGGAATAGCTGTAAAATTATGTTTCTTAGACTCCTTTGCAGATAGGAGCGGTCATAGATTTATCTGGAAATTGCTGAGTAAGCCTTTTTGCCCTTACCCTCCTCTCCTATCTTTGGCCTGGAAAACAGACATAATGGTTAGCCATCTTGAGAGATAAAAGAAAGGCCCAGGAAACTGCAACCTCAGCTGAAATAATGCAAAGATGTGTATCTTTGTGCCACTGAGCCAACACCAGCAAAATTCTACTTCCTAAATCCTTTCACATAAAAGAAAGTTAACTCTTACAGTCAAAACTGCTATTAGTTCATAACTGGTATAACACCTAGCCTTCTGAGGCTATCCTTTTCAAGGACAACGATATTCTCCCTGTTAAAAACAAGAGAACAGGCTCCAAATAGAGGTACTTATGTTAAGCTCCAAGTCACCAGTCTGAGACTTAATTACAGTTTTGGCCTCTCCTAGAAATGGAATGTTAAACAATCAAGAATCACCTGGTCAGCACAAGTGAGGTAATCTGTTCGATAGACCATGACATACTCTAAAGGAAAATGACCTTGCCACAACCAACCCACTTTTTGCTAGTATAACTTCCTTGTTCCTCTCCCTTGTGCCTATAAAAGTCTTTCATTTTGTACAGCTCTTCAAAGCTCCTTTTTATATGCTAGATGGGATGCTGCCTGATTTATGAATCGTTGAATAAAGCCAATAAGATCTTTACATTTAATCAGTTGATTTTTTAAAAATATCTCTATGAAGTGCTCAGTGGCTTAAGTTGGATGAATCATGGCTAGTTTAACCCACTTTAGCAATCCATCAGTTCTAAGGTTGTAAAATATTCAAGCTTTGAACATTTGACTTCTAGAAATTTAAAGGGCAGAGATAAACAGAAGCACCAATCCTTTTGGGATTGGGGATTTATTTATTCTGCTTATCTTAAATCAGAGCTAACAGATCATATAGCTTTAAAAGATACCAAAACATGACTAGTGTTTTGATAGAATAGCTTCAAAGTAAATAAGTATTTTTTTCTCTAACATAATGTTAAAAACTATTTAATATGCTCTAACAATCCCAGATATTATTTAATAGGAGACTCTAAAACCAAAGCACCTGGCCCAGTGATAGGAATATATTAAATGTTCAAATATTTGCTAAATGAATTGTAAGTGCTATAAAACATATATAGTATAGAGCAGTAGGATGCTCATCATAATAGGAAATTAACATATTTACATAATTTCTTTTCTTTTTTTTTTATCCTCAC